TGCCTAGGGGAAAGAAGTATTGGCAATTATTCAGATGAGATGACTTTTATCCAGCACTGTACTGATTGCTGAAATAAATTTATGTTAAATATCTGGAAACAAAACACATTGAAAAATATGATGACTATATTTTAGCAGCACTTTTGCAATAGATGCAGCTATGTATGTATGTGTGGGGTGGGTACTTGTGATGTTTATCAGATGCTGCCAGGGATTCCCTTCTGTCCTCCCTCAGCCTTTGAGGACAGGGCGGTTTAGGGTGGCCTGGGTGCAGGTTGGTGTTTGTGTCTCCATTACAGTTTTTGGTTGCAGGCCACAAAAACTACTTCTGGCCAACTCAACCAGAAGAAGAAGCCTTTCAGTGGATGCAATAGTAGAATCAGTCTTAGTTAACTTCCAGCTCCAGGCAGTGGGTCCTGGTGGAACATCCATCTGGGCAAAGCTTGGGTCTTATAGCAGCTCCTTGGTTACAGGATGTCAAGGAACTTCAACCGACCTAAGGAAACTACATACAATAAGGAGAGAAGAGTCTCCCATTATTACTCTTGAGAAGAAAACAAGGTGTCTGGTCTCTAAGAGAGATTCAGAAAGAGAACAGGAACTCAGAAACATAATGTATTGTGTCCCTCTCAGCTTTGCCACTCATTCAGGGCTAAGTCGCAGAGATGAGGTTCCCATGGTGACCCACAGGCACATAGAGACACAGCTATTTTTTCTAATCACATATAGCACAGCAGTCATATGGAGAAATGAAACTGGGCTTGACTGTACTGTGGCTTTTTACATTTCCTAATGCAGGTCTTGCCGATAGGATTAAGGCACAAGGTTCTGAGCAGTGAGGCTGGAATGGTGGACAAGGGCCAGAGGACCAGCATCACTGAATGCCATGCTAGAAGTGGACTTTATCTAGGAGGCTGCTCTTTTTCCATTTGTAGTGTCGGGCCACCTACATCAGAATCCCTTGTGAGTTCATGTTACAAATGTAGATTCCTAAGTTCTACCCCAAACCTTATAAACCAGAATCTGGGGTGTGGCTTATAAATTTGCATTTCTTGCAAGCACTCCAGAGAATTCTTGTGCAAACTAATGTTTGAGAACTACTACTGCAGGCAATGTGGCACCTGGCAGGTGGTAAACAGACTTGTGTTTTAGCAAGAGTATTTTGATATTGGAGGAGAACAAACCTAGGAGGTTGTTTAATAATCCAACATTTTATGAAATACTTAAATACGGTGCTCACTTATATGCCGAAAATTATTTTAGTTGCTTTAGAAACATTAACTCATTTAATTCTCATAAGAACCCTGGGAATAAGTTCTGTTATTTTCTCTACTCTCTGGATGAGGAAACAGAGGCACAGAAACTTGCTGAGATGAGAGGGTGTGGTGATCTATTGGAAGAGGGACTTGGGAAGGAGACACCAAACATACCCAAGGCGGCTATGGAACCACTGACCAGAACCTGAAGTTGGAAGGTATCCTGGTATTTATGTACCTATGTTACCAGTACCTCCCCCATTACCTGTGAGATCTTTCAAAGTACGGGTGCTGAAATCACTCACAGCTCCCAATATGTAGCACATGTCAGATCACACATGCACCAAACTCAAAACTAGGGGGTCAAGGTCCTGGAATCGGCTCTGTCAATAACTTGCTCTGCAATAAGTTACTGAGTATCAGTTTCTCCATTGGTAAAATGAGGGTGTTAGGTGTGTGCCATTTCTTCCACTGTAAAATGGTCAAGGCTGTGGGGGAACATAACTCCAGAGTAGGCACTCCCGTGGCCCCAGCATGGTGTGTGCATGGCAGCTGGGATTGCACAAGATGGGCTCCTGGAGAGGGAGCAGGTGACAGGACCTGCTGGGGACTGAATGAGCTCACACAGGGAAAGTGTCTAGACCAGTGGTCTCCAACCTTTTTGGTACCAGGGACTGTTTTCATAGAAGACAATTTTTCCACAGACCAGAGCTGGGTGTGGGGTTGAGGGTGGAGGATGGTTTGGGGATGACTCAAGCACATTACGTGTATTGTGCAGTTTATTTCTATTATTATTACATTGTATTATATAATGGAATAATTATACAACTTACCATAGGTTGGGGACTCCTGGTTTAGACCATGCCTGGGACTTGCAAGTGTTAGTTATTATTGTCATGATTAGCTCTAGATTCCTTTCAGCTTGAACATCTAGTATCTGAGAGCCTTTAAATGATACCTCACCCCAGCAATGGGGAAAGTGGATTAGAATTTGAAAAATTAAAATAGTTTGTAGGCAAAATTTTTTTTTGTCTTAACTAGTTTGTTCTTCCTACCCTGTTACCGCTATGGAATTCCTTTGGCCCCCTTTCTAACATCGTCTTTCCTAGAAATCCCCAACGCCAGCTGAGTGAGGAAAGCACAGGCCGTGGCAGATGCTGGTTTGGCCGTCACCCTCTCTGCGTGGCTGGCCCTGCTTCTGAAGATACTCTAAGCCACAGGTAGTCAATACGTTCTCCCAGGGGAGGCTGCTTGGCCTAATGCTAAACACTCGCTGCTGGGATGTCTGTCGTTGTAAGAAGCCTGGAGAAACAGAGACAGCGGTTCTCAAACCACTTCTATATAATGATTGTATTTTTAAACAATCTAGACTACAGAAACATACTTTCTATTGTTCCTAAGTAATATTAGTCAAGCAAAGATACTATGGTCCACTTCCTGAGGATTTGTGATCTCATACATAAATTTGGAAATGGTGTCTTCTGAGAAATATCAAAGAAGTTTGGTTTCTTATTTTTCATTCATTCATTTGCCCCACTTTTATTAAGTGTTTATTTACTACATACCCAGGTCCATTAAACAGCCACTGTCCCTGGGTACTATTTATGTTGACCTGAGGTCATAAGTCCAGTTTTTAAGTCCTCTACAACCCATTATCTTTGCCAGTTTTCTATTCTACCTCTCAGGGATGTTTTTGGGATCACATGACTTAATATACATTATGGATGTCATGTGTAAGTGGGAGATGTCAGTACTAGGAATGTTCTGTTAGGGCAAGCCTTACCTTTGTAGATAATCTTAGAATTCTTTCTGTTTGACAGCACACATTCTTTCTGTTTGACTTCTCTCAAGAGAGAGCTGGTGTTGTTATGGGGGAAAGCAGCTTTGCCTGTCTTTTAGGCCACTTACTTCATCTTTAGACGTGGATTAAACCTTTAAAACACTTTGGGAAGTTGGAACCCCCCCACCCCCACTTCCCATATAATTTTCCAAAGTCAATAATCCTTCAGGGCCATGGACTTCCACAGTTTTTCACCAAGTGCAGTTGCTCCCTCCCTCCTCTGTCTCAGTGAATGTCATCCTATATCACATCATCATAATGCACCTGCTGGTCTGCAGGAAAAATCCTTCCTCCAGTGCCCTTGGTGAGGGACTGCTGGAAAAGACAGCCTGAAAGGAAAGAGAGGCAAGGGGAGGTAACGTGACGTCACTTTTTTTTTTTTTTTTTTTTTGAGACAGAGTCTCGCTTGTTGACCAGGCTAGAGTGAGTGCCGTGGCCTCAGCCTAGCTCACAGCAACCTCAAACTCCTGAGCTCAAGCAATCCTTCTGCCTCAGCCTCCCAAGTAGCTGGGACTACAGGCATGTGCCACCATGCCCGGCTAATTTTCTATATATATTAGTTGGCCAATTAATTTCTTTCTATTTATAGTAGAGATGGGGTCTTGCTCTTGCTCAGGCTGGTTTCAAACTCCTGACCTCGAGCAATCCGCCTGCCTCAGCCTCCTAGAGTGCTAGGATTACAGGCGTGAGCCACCGCGCCCGGCTTACGTCACATTTCTTAATTGACCTATTTGATTCCTGTTGGGCATGAGCTTAAATCACGTGGCCAGCCAGTGGCAGAATGGAGGGCTGATTTACCAAGCCAGTGCTGAGTGGAATGAGAAAGTTCTATGTCCCCCTTGGGCTGCTCTGCTTCTGAGTCATGTCCTCGATTCACACATAAGCTCCTGAGTTTGGAAAGTCACTGGTGTGACGGGGCCCCATTCACCAGTCCCTAAGCGGCTCTAGGCATTCCATAAAGACCCCAGAAGGCACTGACTGCTCTTGCGGTTCTCACAAAAATCTCTTTCCTTTCAGGCCCATCCTGCTCATTCATAAACCGCCAGACTTCAGATCGGAGCAAACACAGGTGGATTTGCTGGGCTCCTGGAGACCTGACCACTGTCTACATCTGCACTAATACGGCAGCCACTAGCCACACGTGGCTGCTGAGTGCTAGAAATGTGGCCAGTCTGTGCTGAGATGTGCTGTACGTATAGTCACCAGAGCCTGAAGACGTAGTACAACAAGAATCTGAAATGTCTCATTAACAATTTTTAAATGTTGAATATATTGAATGAAAGTATACCTTAAAATTAATTCTGCTTGTTTTTAAAACATGTTTTTTTAATGTGGCTATCAGAAAATTTAAAATTACCCAAGTAGCTCACATCACATTTCTATTGGTGAGTGCTGTTGTTGGTTGCAAGGCTTGTATCTGAAGAGTCTTTAGAACCCAGATCAGGAGGTTTGGTCAGAAGAGATAAGACTTAGGCTTACTTCAACCTGGCCATCCTTTGCTTGCTATTAGGTCAGGACCTGAGATAATACCATGAACTCAATCACATTTCTTATTTGGCTTGTTTTTTTAAAAAAAATTCCAAAATCTTAATAATCATTTGGATTTTAGCACCTTATTTTGAAAAAACTCTTTCTGACTGTTATGAGCTGAATTGCATCCACCCCAAATCCATGTATTAAAGTCCTAACCCACGGTACCCCGGAATATGACTGTATTTGGAGATAAGTCCTTTGAAGAGGTGATTAAATTAAAATGAAGCCATTTAAATTGGCCCTAATCCAAACTGACTGGTGTCCTTCCTTATAAGAAGAGGAAATTGGGTACAAAAAAAGAAACCAAGAATGCAGCACTGGAGAAAGATCAGGTGAGGACACAGTGAGAAGGCGGTTGGTCATCTACAAGCCGAGGAGGGAGGTCTCAGAAGACACCAAACCTGCCCGTACCTTGATCTTGGACTTCCAGACTCTAGAATTGTGAGAAAATTAAATTTTGTTGTTTAAACCACCCAGTCTGTGACATTTTATTATGGTAGTACCAGCAAACTAATATGCTGATCTATTTCTTGGTAGAGCTGGAGAAAACCTGGTGACAAGGGAAAACAGCTTCTCCACGGCCAGAAGTCTGGCTTCCTGTGTCAATCCGTCAGGACCTCCCAGACAGTGACCAACATCTCTCGTGTTGCCTCTGCCTCAGGTCAGCGTCTGTTTCCCAGTCGCCGGTCCATATTGTGCGCCTCTGTCTCCTCTTCTAGTAACCATCCTCTTTGTTCTCCAGCAGGTGATGAAGATTTAAGATGCAGCAGTGTCAAAGAGCTGGCATTTTGAAGATTTGAAAGAAGGGCTGACATCAGGGTTTTATATCTAGGTCTATGTAAACACACAAAATCCTTTTTTTCCCTGTCCAAAATTCTTTCATTAACTCATTTGAATGAAAGAGTCATTTGTTTTAAAATATCCATGAGATTTTGAACTTATTTATTGGTAGAAAGAATGTTGTTTTCTAGAAAATTCATTTCTGCTGGGCAAGCAGGGTAATCAGTAGTTTGGAAGGGAGGGTGCCAGACCACATGACCTTGAGAGCTTTCTTCTAGCTCTAAGTCCCCAAATCTATAACCCTCTGTTAGGAGTTTCATCTACTCCCCGTGGAAGCTATCTCAGGGATGGAGAGAGGATTCCGACCAGGTACATCCTGGGGCTGGTGAACTCCAGTCGCAGCTTCATTTCGGTAGATATTTGACCTCCAGAAACAGAGTCCAGGTCAATCTCTTTGCCAAGAAGTCAAGAAACTGCTTTCTCAACGAGGCCAGTGAAATAGGCATTAAAGGCCTCCTTAGAGAGACTTTTTGAACTTTCAGAATTTGCATTTATATGCTGGCCTGGACCCAGAATTCACTGAAGGGAGAAAAAATACAAAAGACTATGATAGACCCAAGGATTATCTTCTTGGCACTCCCTAGAACAGCTGTCTGGCAAATGTTACACCACGTCTGAGATTATTTTAGAAACCGTCTTGAGGAAGAACATGTAGGGAGAATACCAGACAGATTTGCCCTCATTTTTGTCACAGAATAAGAATTTCAAGGACATTTTTACTTTCAATGACATCATCTTGGCAATGGTCTTATCACTTTTTAAAACTTAAATCATGCCACATCTAATAAATTTATAGCTATTTAGATTTCTTCCTTCTCTTCTTGTTCCTTTTCTTCATTATCATGGTAAGTAGAAAATTCTAAATGTGTTTTAAACAAGAGAATTCCACCAGGTATCACTAGGAACCTAGCCCAAGTGAAATACTCATTTAGAGGTAAAATGACAAAGGATATTTGCTCTCCTAAATTTTCTTTCAGGCCTTATTTTCTGCCCAAATGATGTATTTTCTGTGTTCAGTGAAATAGATGATGCCAGAGAGAGAGAGTGAAATTACAGCAAGACAATGATCAGGGTAAAGTATAATAAACTGAGTGCAGGTGTAGGGTCTATACCTGTGGGAGTGAATGAGAGCTTAGCCTAGCGTGAACCTCTCACCATGTTCTTGTTCACATAAGAATTCAACTGAAGGAGCCATTCATCAACAGGTATCACTTACGTTAATGTAGTCTCTGAACTATGAACACTTGACTTGAAGCCATTACCTGAAAATGCCACCTTAGCCATTCTCTGTGTGCATGTGAACACCTGTGGAGGTGACAGAGTGAAAGCCCCCGTGGACTGAGATTTCCTTTCCGATAGGTAGCTCTGGCCTGAGAAGCTGGGAAGGGTATTCCATGCTTGCCAGGGAGGAGGTTGCATAGGGAGGCAGGGGAAGATGTGATGGCAGAAGGAGCTAATGGAAAGGACAAAGAATGTGTCTGGAGGACCGAGTTCCAAAATGAATTCAATTTGCTTTTTCCCTACTGAAACAATGTAAAAATGTTGGTTAAATTCCCAGGCTGGCCCATAAAAGCTTGTTGATGCATAATGCCAGGGATATACTGTACATTTTCCCCTAACGTTGCTTTCATTGTGTGTATGTAGGGAGTGTGTGTGCATGTGTGCATTGGTTACATTATATGCTAATTATGGGAAGTTTTTGTGGCTAATTCAGGAATTAAACTATAATTTGTAACATTATTTCCAAGCTCTGAATAATAATTTTGAAAAGACCTTTTGGAACGTAGCAAGATTGCAAGTTGGAGACATTCGTTCCACTTGGAGAGAATGGAGGGTCTCTGCAGCTTCTGTGGAATGCTGTGGATATAATCCAAGCATCCCTGAGGCATGGCATTTCTTTGAGAAAGAAGAGTTGGAATAGACAGAGATCCAAGTTAGGCACAGCACAGAGAGAACTTTTACCTTTGCAGACTTTATTCACTGTGCTAACTGCGTGTCCCCTCTGATTCACAGACTTCATTTTCTTTCTCTTCTGCCATCCCCAGGTTATATTATATCAACTTTAATTACAGGTTCACTAGGTGTTGTAGATTTTCTAAAGTTTGCAAGAAAAACAGACTTTCCGATCAACCCAGACAATACTGAGTGTGTTAAGACAGTGAGGAAGGAAGAGATGAAATTGTGAAAGAATGCATTGTTGAAGTTGTAGGATGCTTAGACCCCAATAACGTTTCAAAGTACAAACAAATGCCTCTTTCAAGGAGAGCCATAACTGATTGGCAGCATTAATTAGCCTTCAATTTAACAGAACAACATTATGTAATACTTCAAGAGGAAAATATATATTATTCAGTTGCTTTGGATGAATCAACTGATACTACTGACTCAGTGTAGGTTTTATACTTCATTTGGGTAGTAACCGAAGATTTTCTTTGCTACGAAGTTTCTTGCTTTGGGCATTCTTGGGAACAGAACACAGGGAATAGCTAGATATCTTCAGCAACTTTCAAGATAAATGTCATGCAGTTGGACTGAATTTGGTAAATTTAGTGAGCATATGTACAGATGGTGCACCTTCCATGAAAGGAAAACATGAAGTGTTTATTGCACAGATTTTTAAAAAATTATTAACAGATCCAGATGCACCCATTTCTTTTCATTGTATCTCGCATTAGCAAAACCTCTGTGCTAAAGTTACTAATTTAAGTAACACTTTGCAACAAGTTTTAAGTATTGTTAACAATGTTCATGCAAATACAACATGGCATCATCAGTTTCATAACATGCTAAAGTTGAATGATGAGTGTTCAGTGTGGATTTGCCATATCATTCTAAAGTGCATTAGCTATGGCAGGGACAGGTGTTAGCCAAAATTTTATCACTGTGAGAACAGACAGTTACATTTTATAAAAAACAGAGTCAGCAATGTAAATTATTGAAAGATGAATTCTATAGGAATGCAGCATTTCTGTGTGATATCATGTCAAATCAAAAGGACTTGAATATTTCTTTGCAAGGTAAAACTAAATCTATATATAATATGTGGTTAAAAAAAAGTCCAAGCATTTCACAAAAAGCTATCTTTTTTTCAAGACATTTCTTCAAAAGGAAATTTCAGATGAACATTTTCCCCAGTTAGCCAAAGTCATTGATGAGCAGGATGATATATGTGAATCGTTTGAAGAATAAACAGCTGTCATAGACCTATTAATTGGAGAATACAATGAAAGGTTCACTGACTTTGAGAATCATGACCTCACACTCAAGTTAGCATCTCAGCCTCACCTAGTTGCTATCACCAAGGCACCTAAAGAACCACAGATGGAATTGATTGAGTGCTCAGTAGATGACATTTTGAAGTCATTGTTTGACGCTAAGAAAGATCTAATTGAAATATGGAAACTTGCGTTGGATTGCCCTTGTTTTTGGCACCTTTCCGGAAAATTGTTTTTTTGTTTTTCACCCCTTTTTTGTTTTGATTTTCCTTTTTCTTCCTTACCCAAATCAAGACATCCTTAAGGTCACAAATGGCTGATACCCATCTAGAGGATCAACTGAAACTGTGGATCTCCAAGCTGCAACCAAATATTCAAATGCTTCCCAACAAAAACCAGACACAACAAAGTCACTAAAAGATTAACTTTAAAATTAACAAATAATTTTCATTTTTTAAAATTATTGAGTACATAGTAGTTAGATTTTTTAAAAATAATGTACATTTTAAAGTATATCTAATTGAAGTTTCTTGAATGAGGCCTTATTTGATTACAGCTAAATTAATGTGGCCTTCTAACATGGAAAAATTCTCCACCCCTGCCCTAAAGTGTTTTGTTTTTCAGAACATTTTTTTCATCGAATGGGTCAGGTTTAAAGCTAAAATGAAACAGCTGCTGTTAACTAAAGGATGACTGTCAGTGACAGTCAAGTATCATCAATTTAAACGAGGGGGACATAAGTCTGATTTGCAGACGTTCATTGCAAACCAGACTTTGTAATAGTGCACTGAGCTGCCTCAACTGACAGGTTACCACCCTGTCCTTGAGAGAGGCAGACTATTTCCTGGAAGAAGTGACAAAAATATTTTTCGCATACATTTTTAAAAATGTTTTAAGTTTTTAATTTTTTAGAGACAGAGTCATATTCTCTTGCCCCAGGCTGGAGTGCAGCATCGTAATCATAGCTCTTTGCAGCCTTGAACTCCTGGGCTCAAACCATTCTACTGCCTCAGCCTCCTGAGTAGTTAGGATTACAGGTGTGTGCCACCACACCTGGCTAATTAAAAAAAATTTTTTTTGTAGACACAGGGTCTTGCTATGTTTCCAAGCTTGGTCTCAAACTCCTGGCCTCAAGCCATCCTCCCACCTCAGTGTCCAAAAAGTGCCAGGATTGCAGGCATTAGCCACCATGCCTGGCCGAAATATGTTTAATATTCACACTTTGACTTGGGTCTGGGTGTTTTCTTTAAGTTGTTTATTTTGAAATGATTACATACTTACATGAAAGTTGCAGAAATAGTACAATTTTTTCCAGAATGTGAATACTTTAGTGTGCAATCCCTACAAACAAGGACATTCTCCTATATAATTATAATACAATCATCAAAATAAGGAGAGTAACGCCAAAATATTACTACCATCTAATCCTCAGGTGCCATCCACATTTTAACAATTAATCCAATAGTGTTCGTTATAGATCCAATTCAGGACCACCTGTTGTATTTAGTTGTCATGTTTCTTTAGTTTCCTTCACTCAGAATAGGTCCTTAATCTTTTCTTGACTTTCATAACTTTGACACTTTTGAATATTACATGCTGATTATTTTGTAGAATGTCCCTCAATTTGGATGTCTGATGTTTCTTCCTGATTTGTGCATTTTTGGCAGGAATGTCACAGAAGTGATGCTGTGTTCTCATTGTATCTGATCAGGTGGTACATGATTTCAACTTGACCCATTATTGGGG